CCGAGGGGCGAACTTGGCGGCAGCGGCGCCAAACGGGTTGTTAGGGTTGCTAAGATACTCGTAATTTAGAGCCTCAGAGATGTACGACAGACGCCGCGTCAGCCAACGGCTTTCGTTGGAGGCGTAAGCGCGCGCACGGTCCTTGCTCACCAGTACAGCACTGCTGACAGCACCGGCGGCGGCGGCGGCGGCAGGTTTCGTTTCCCCGCCAGCGGCCGCCGCCGGCTCCTTTGACGCTGCCGCCGCGTCCGTACCTTGCGACTGTGACGCAATCTGCGACTGTGACGCAATCTGCGACTGTGACGCAATCTGCGACTGTGACGCAATCTGCGACTGTGACGCTTCCGCTTCTGCCGTACCATTCTCCGCCGCCGGCTGTGACAGCGACGGCTCCTCCTTAGTCGTGACCGGTCCCGTCACCTCCGGCGGCTTCACCGCCGGCTCCTGCTTCACATCGGCCGCCGCCGTCGCCGCCGCCGCCGGTGTCGCCGCTGCCTCCGCAGCCGGCGTCGTCGTCGCCGCCGCCGCCTGAATGTCGTAATCTACGGGAATGTTCAGTTCCCTCCTAAGCGCTTCCTTGAGGCCCAGACTCGAATCTTTGATGATTCGTTGCCACTGCCCGTAGCCGTACAGCAGTAGCCCCCGCAGTAGCAGGCCGTCGTGGTACGGCTGCCAGTTAGGCGAGTAGGTGAGGAAGCGCACCTTGGAAGCGCAGGGCAGTTCGAAGCCGGGTTGCCCTCGGAGCGCTCGGCCCTTGTACTCCTAAACCGACAAAACAATCATCCGGGTTTTTCATCACAAAACAAGAAACCAGGGGGGAAGGGGTGGGTGGGTAGAATTTGCTTGTGGAGATGTTTGAAAGTTTTCCTGTGAATATGTTTGAATATATTTGTGAGTTGATGGACTTTATGAGTTGATGGACAACGCGACTATAATCCTGCCCCGCTTCTTCTTACCGCCATTTTTCGGCGCACGAGGTGAAGGAATCCGATGCGCTCCAACACGTCATTGGGTCTGTGTGTGTGTATTGGTGGTGGGGGAGAGGGGGCGGGAGAGAGGGGGAGGGGGGGGAGAGAGAGGGGAGAAGGGCGGGGGAGGAGGGGGTTTGCTCGGGGTTAGCAATCAGCACGAATGATACGATATGATGGAGGTTGTGATGACGGGGGGGAAAGAGGGAATACAGAGCAAAACGACTCCCCACTGGGAAGGGATCAACCGCCAAACACCGCCTCATCTCAACCGCCAAAAACCTCAACCGCCTCATCTCAACCGACGCAACTGTCCCCAACCCCCAACGCCCACTTACCTGTGCGACCCCAGAAGATCCTCCGGCTTCAGTCCGTTGCTCCAGCAGTACCCGGCCGCCACCGGCTCGCTGATGGAGCTGATCAACAGATTGCAGTACTCGCGGACGAAGGCCGGCGGGCGGTGGGGAAGCCGCTGCGCGAAGGCCGTGTACATCTCGTCCGGGTTGGTTTCGGAGACCTGAAGAGGAGAGGGGGGAAGAGAGGGGGAGAGGAGGTGACAGAGCCCTACGCCCGCTAACCTTGGTTTCGGAGGACGGGGAAAATGGATCCAGAGATTTATGAGTTCTTCTATACTTATTACAGAGTCCAAGTGACGATGGGTTTCATAAGCCGGAAGGAATGGAAGATTCGAAAGGTTTCTTAGGAAATGAAAGGTAAGGGAATGTTAGCATCATTGTACGGAGCTGGCTCTGGTCATATGAACAGGTACGATTAAGCCGAATAAGCTAAAACCCCAAAACCCTAGAAACGTTGCCCGGGTCTGGTCTAGACTCTCTTCCTGGGGAAAGAGCCGCCCCCACTAAAGTGTATCATTATGATCCATACATAAGATTATAAGACCGACTGACCGACTGACGCACCTGCAGGCCGAACCTCATGAGCGCCGCGATGAACGTTTGCCTGTCCCGTACAGTCAAGCCGTACACTAGCATTGACGGGCCGCTACCGGTCACAAGCGGCGGCAGCTGCATCGTCGGCGGGCCCGCCGCCATTGTCGTACCGCCTGACGGCCGCGCCGCTAGCTGCACTAGGGCGCCGGGCCTCCCCAAAGCCGCCGCCGCCATTGCGGCGGCCCCGGCGACAGTCAGGAGCGCCGCGGCGTTGGGTACGGCAAGACTGCCGCCGCCGCCGCCATCGGCGGGGTTGGCGGCAACGCCAGCGGCAGTGGCAGCGCCGGCGGTGCCGCCGCCGCCGGTAGCAGCTGGTGCGGCTGGTGGAGCGGCGGCTGGTGCTGGGTGGCCGCTGGGCAGTACGGCGGACCGCGGCCGTTTGCTTGCCTTCCCGCCGTCGTCTTCTAGCTCCCCATCATCCTCATCGAGCGGCTCCGAGTCCGATGACGCGGCGGATCGCGATTGGCTGTACGACTGGTCACTGTCGGAGTCGCCTTCGCCGGCGGCGTCACGGTACGATATCTGCAACGCACCATGATGTCGGACCCTGGTCGGCTGGAGGTACGACATATACTCACTCTCACTCACTCTTCACTCACACATTCACTCTTCACTCACACATTCACTCTTCACTCACACATTCACTCTTCACTCACACATTCACATATGCATACATACATACATACACACACGTGCTCTTCCACCTAGCCACCACCCCACCCACCCGCCCCATCAAGCAGCCGTCACACCTTCTTACGCTCCCGGCGTCCCTTCCCCAGCAAATGGTGCGGCTGCTCCGCCAAAAGCAGCTCCAGCGCTGCCGCCTCCTCCGGCGTCGCCGCCACCCCTGCCACGTCAGCCAGGCCGCCGCCGCCGCCGCCGCCAGCACCCCCACCACCACTCCGTTTAAGGAGGGTTTGCCAAAATGCGGGACCCACCTCGCCGCCCTGATCTGGACACAGTTGCTGAATAAAAAACAACGAACAACGAACAACAAGCAACAAACAACGAAATGGTTGGCGTAAAGGTACAAGGTGAAGTACAACCCAACAGCGGGCTTGCAGTGTGGTTTGCCGTGTCATGGAAACCGGTTGGTAGTTGGCGGTTACGGGAATGAGAGGCCCCGAAGAGGTGAGCCGTGTGCGTCTGTCGGTCCATCGTTTGCATGTATGTCTGTAGGTGCGTATGTAGATATGTGTCTGTGTTCTTTCCTTAGCACTGGTGCACGACCCCCACCGCATTCAACCAACCAACGAACCAAACCAACCAACCAACCAACCTGCAGCAGCTTCTCCGGCAGCAGCTGCCCCTCTAGACCAGGCTGAGCCGCCGCCGCCGCCGCTGCCGCCGCCGCTGCCGCCGCCGCTGCCGCCGCCGCTGCCGCCGTTGCCGTACCCTCCTCCTCCTCAGCCGCCGCCGCCGCCGCCGCTGTTTCCACTTCGGGCACCACCTCCACCATTTCGAAATTGGCAACCTGTTAGCAGTTCGCAGTTAGCGGCTAAACGTTTGTTAGAAGCTGAGTGCTAGACAAGAGATACAGATATACATACAGACATACTCACAAACGCGTTCGCGTTCGTTTCCTCCGACACGAAGTACGCGCACCTTGAAGGCGCTGAAGAAGTCCGCCCCGGACTGATCCGCCGCCGAGCTCTCGCCGTAGTTCCGCATGGCATTGAGAGTCTGAAAAAGGCAGGGCGCATGGTTTATGGTTGGCGGTTGACAGTTGGCAAAGGGGTTCGGAGCTTGGGTTTCCTTGTAGGTTTTTTCCATCATGATTTGCACTGCAGCAACTGCGAGGTACTGCATGTACTGCTTTGTACTTGTACTTTTGCTGCGCTCGATGTGAAGTGCCCCTCCATGCTCCATGCGATCGAATTTCTTATTAATATTCTCATGTTGTGTGTTATGATTCCGGACATCAAAGGTGTCCACCGGGTACTTCTTGAGGAGAGTAAGGGTTGTTAAGGATTACGGCGGTTATTAGTTTTAGTTGGAACTGAATTTGAACTTGGATCTAGATTCCAGTTCGCTCCAACCCAGTTCCCCCTGAACATGCCAAGCAGGGGCTGATACGACATGCGGCGATGCCCCGACCCCTCAACCCGGCCCCCCATTCCCCCCTCGAACAAATTATACATGGGTAATACGACACATGTCGTACCACTCGCCCTAGACCACTCCAGGCTTCCCGTCTCCTCCTCCCCCCACAACTCCCGCGGGCCCGTTACTCCAAACGCATGAAACCCTACCTGCCGATCAAGCAACCGGTCAATGGCGGCAGCATCCCACACGATGCGTTTCGAACGACTGCTACCACCTCCACCACCAGCAGCAGTAGCAGCAGTAGCAGCAGTAGCAGTAGCAGTAGCACCGGGGGATGGCTCCCGGGAGACATGGGCCTCAGCAGCAGTAGCAGCAGCAGCAACAGCGTCTGATCCTGCAAATAGAGGATATAAAAAAATAAATTCAAGGGGGTTCGGGAGGAAAGGACAGGCAACCGCCAACTACTAACCAGAATTAAACCGATTTATAAATGTCAAAAGCCCTAAGTCCTAAAAGTGAAATATCCAAAACAAGCCACGTTGAGGGGAAGAGCATTGTTGGCGGCCATCTCTAGGCGCCAGCAAGACCTCCACCCTATAGCACCAGCAAGGGGACAGTGTAGAGCGGCTCTAGCTGCCGCACCAAAACCTCCATACACACCAGCTCCGAAACACACATACACACACGCAGTCCCCTAACCCTTCATTGAGACCATCCACCCCCTCGTCCAAACCCACATGTACGACATATACACAGACACATAAACACAGACACGCCACTCACCCTCCGGAGGCTGGGCCTTGACTCCCGCAGCGCCCGCCTCCGCCTTCTCCAACCCCACCGCCTTAACTGCCGTACCGTCCCCCGCCACCGACGACGGCTTGTCACCTCCTCCTCCCCCCTCTCCGCAAACCCCCGCCCCCGTCACCCGCTCCTGGCCTCCCGGGGGGGAGGTGGGGACGGGGGAGATGGCGTCCTTGCCAACCCCCCCTGCAGCCGCCTCCTTGCCGCCGCCGCCGCCTGCCGCCCCCTCAGCTCCCTCATCCCCCTCATCCGCGAACAACTCCTGTACAAGGCGGGGCGGGGGGAAGTCCCGAATGCGCATATGGCTGTATGTTTGCGTGGCTGTATGTCTGTAGGTGCAGAGCATCACAATGGCAACATGCCAATGTCGTCCAGAAGAATCGGGTATCGGGTATCGATACCGGTACCGGTACCGGTGTCGATAGGTCCAGGTGGTGGTACAACTCTGACACCATCGTAAGGGGAGGACAAAAAGCCACGGGCAGGAGGACGCGGGGCCCCCCACCTCCACCCCCACCGTCACCTTCACCTCCATCTCACCCTCCCGTACACCCGTACAATCCACTCCCAAGCACACTCTCAACCAAACCCTGCCGTACACTCGTACCTGCGCCCCGTATCTCAGTATGTCGTCCAGCTCGGACTGCTTCAGCTCGCCCCCGCCGCCTGAGCTCATCTTGCGAACCACCAGGTGCTCCAACATCATCTTCTTGCGGCTGACCTGCAACATATCGTGCGCGCGAGCATGTGGGTTTCGCGTGTGTATGTGTTTTGTGCATGTGTTTTGCGTGTATGTACGAATGTACGTCAAAAGGTAACATCAACACCGCCAAAACGGGAGGCGCGGGGGAAGGGGGGAACAACGTGTGGACAAAGAAGCAATGCTGGGGAGGAGGTGCAAGTGAATGATTAACAGGGGAAAAGTGGCGGTGCTGGTTTTTGATTGTTGACTGATGAGGAGGGAATTCATTAACCACCTTGTCGTACGAATTCCCGTCTCTCGCTTCTCTCTCTCTCTCTCTCTCACCCATCGCCCCCACACATACACGCACACTCCGCTGCCCCGCCCACACCTGCATCATTCGCTCCTCGATGGTTTGTCGGGTGACGAGCCTACAAACAAACAAACAAACAAATAAACAGATAGTCAGACAGACAGACCACTGGTCTGAGAGTTGCTGAATTGCGTACATGCATTTCCGGGACATAATTACATGCACGCAGCACATGCACATGCTGCCAGTCGCCTAGTGGGGGGGGAGTTGGGTAGAGATCTTGACCACCTCCTCGACATAGCACCACCAAACAGATAGACAGATAGACAGACAAACAGATAGACAGACAAATAGACAGACAAACAGACAGACAAACAGGCAGACAAACAGACAGACAAACAGACAGACAAACAGGCAGACAGACAAACAGGCAGACAGACAAACAGACAGGTGTAACATCACACACACAAACGACACGAAAATGCGGCTCGCTCCGCCAAAAACACAGGCCACCACACAGACACATATACGCACAAACACATACCCACGCACCTGTAAATCATGACCGGCTTATCCTGCCCCAAACGATGAGCTCGGGCCTGGGCCTGGACGGACAGACAAACAGACAGATGGATGGAGGGGATCCCGTGAGAAGCGAAGATAAATCTAAGGGGGGTAACTCACAGTCACCTAAAACACCTGCAAACGACATTTTAAGACATATCAGCTTGACCATTCACCCACCCCACCTCACCCTACCCCACCCTCGCACCCCCCTCAACTTGATACTCGACCCCAACACCCCACATCGTTGGCGGCCCTCCCTTTTTATATAACAATCACACAAAAACATAAATACACACTTACAGTCAGACAGACAGACAGACAGACAGACAGACAGACAGACATATCAAGACACATACACAGTACTCCTTTCTTCGGTAAGTTCCCAACTGGCAATCACTCCGGGACTTCCTTCTCGCGCCCGTCACTTCATCACAACGCACACGCACACACATACATACGTATATACATAAATACATACAAACGTATGCATACATACATACATACATACATACATACATACATACATACATACATACATACATACATACATACATACATACATACATACATACAAACGCACCTGCAGGTCGTTATGCGGGTTCCAGTCGCTGTCAAAGATGATGACGGTGTCGGCGGTGGCCAGGTTGATCCCCAGACCCCCCGCCCGCGTGGAGAGCAGGAAACAAAAGTAGGAATCCGGATGCTGGTTGAAGCGGTCGATGCGCTTCTGACGCTCAGAGCCTGCGGGGTGGGTTAGTGGGGAGTTGGGGAGTTGGGGGGGTGGGGGTTTGAGGCCCCCTTCTGCCCCACGGGGTGGGGTTGGGGGGGTTTGAGGGTAGGTTGAGGCCCCCTTCTGCCCCACGAAGCAGCAGCAGCAGCAGCACCGCGGACCACGTGCCGACTGATGTGCAGAGCACCCGAGCTACGGGTCTCCGAAACCAGTGGGGAAGGTGGGGAGATGCCGCTGCCTCCTTTCTCCCCCAAAACACACAGATAGACAGACAGACAGGCAGACAGACAGATAGACAGGCTTAGGCACATACACATACACATACACAACCACGCGCACCTGCCACTGTTCCGTCGATCCTCATATACCCCAGCCCGCGGCCCACCAACCACTCCTCCAGCAGGTCCAACGTGCGAGTGAACTGGGCCGCGTGACATAAAACCGCGGAGCGTGGGGGGGTGGCCCAAGAGGGGGAAGGGAAAACATGTCCGAACAATGTCATGAAGCAATTAACCTCCACGAGGCAGGCCGGGGGGGGGGGATTACATGCCAAGTTAAGGACAACAACCGCTGCGGCCGGAGGGGAAGAGGGAAGGGGGGCTCTGGGGAAACGCAAACACATAAACGCGACCGTCGAACAACGACCTCAACGACCGTAAAACGCTCCAACCGAGCCAGTCGAACTCAACCAAACTCCGCCTGTCGTTTTCCTTCCCCGCCCTTCTATATCGACATTCTTCACCACCACCACCACCACCACCCTTTTCAATACCCAGTACCTGCGAGAAGATGATCAGTCGATGTCCCGCATCTCGCAACCGCATCGCCATCTTATCCACCAACTGCAGTTTGCCGCTGTGAGTGACGAGCGAATCCAGATCCGTAGGATGCTGCAGCGCTGTGTCGTACAAGATCCATGGCAGGAATTACATCATCGGGGATTGGGAAGGGGAAGGAAGGGGGCCCAGGGGTTGGGGGGTTGGGAAGGGGAGCTCCCCCGGCGGGCCAAGAAATCAAGACACACACACATACACACATACACACATACACACCGACACACACCCCAGTGAAGTAAACCCCTGGCCCTCTCCTGTGCCCCCCCACCGAAATCCCTCTTACCCCTCCCAACGGTGGCCTCGGGGCCTTAGGAGGGAATGGAAGGGGCTACCCTGTCCCAGACAACTAAAACCCTAAAACCCTGAACCCTAAAACCTAAAACCTGCGTTTTTATACTAACGCCTCTGTCCCACCGCGCAGGACGGTCGGTCAACGACGACTCAGGTACAAACTTTCGCCGCCCTTCCACCTTACCGAGGAAAAACGTCGTCCCCTACAACCCCGCCCCACCCCACTCCTCACCTCCCACCCCAACCAATCCCCCACTCTATCCAGTACCCCAGCCTCGTTCTACAAATGGCCCAACACCGCTACACCCTCCCCCTACCTCCCCTTCCTGCGCCCCCCCTGCCCGCCTGGTGGGCCACCAGGAACGGGTGGTTACACGCCTTCCGCAGCTCCATCATCAGGTTCTTCAGGGCGGTGGTGGCGCCACCGGCAGCAGCGACAGCCGCCCGGTGACCCACAAGCACGGAGGAGTGCTGAAGCAACAGGGACCTGACAGACAGACAGAAAGACAGACAAGACGGATAGACGGACGGATAGGCGGGTTGACAGGTCCACATACAGATGGTCCAAAGAGGGGCGTGATGGATATCAAGGCCAGGGGCCAAGCGCGGCGGGTTTAGGACATTTCCACTCCTCCTCCCTTCTCCAATTTCTTCATGTTTCCATGTTTCCAAAGCAACCCCTGATCGATCCCAGATATACCCTCCCTATCCCCCCACCCAACCCACCAACTCCATCCCCTACCCCACCCCCTACCCCCCCTGATCCCCCCACCCGCGTGCCCTCCTATTTCCCAGTGGCCTCCTCACCTACCTGTAGATTTCCCTTTGCTGGGGGCTCAGCTCCACCCGCACCAGCTGCTCCATCTTGGGGGGCAGCTGCTTCATGACGTCATTCTTCAGCCGGCGAAGCATGTGCGGCTGCGGAGGAGTGTAAAGGAGGGGGAGGGGGAGAGCGAGGGCAAAAGGGCAAGAGGGTGGGGGAAGACACGTAATATGGCAATGATGCACGGGCACCATACCTACATAAGCGTGTAAGATTGCAATTGCAATTTGAGTCCGCGGTCGGCGGTTTTTCGTATTCCAAACCCCTGAGGGCCCCGTTCCCCCCTTCTTTCCCCGCTCCCCCCGGGTTCCTCCCTCCCTCCCCCCACTATAATGGATTCTTACCTGCAGCAGCGCATGCAGCTGAGTCACGTCCTCGTTCTGCGACAAGCTGGAGAAGCGGGACTCGAAAGCTGCCCGACTTGGGAACTTGTCCGGCTCCAAAAAGTGGAGCAACATAAAGAGCTCGCCAAGGTGGTTCTGGAGCGGCGTGCCCGTCAAGAGAACTTTGTGTCGTACACTGCGGAGGGCCAGGGTGAAGTACACCACGCTTGAAGCTGTAGCAGCTGCTGTTGTAAAGTTAAGAGGTCTAAGTCCCACGGGTTGCTTTTTCATAAATTTTAACTTCTCAAAGTTTAAATATAATGAACATGCGACAATGAAGGTCATAAAGCTCCAGACACTAAAAAGCGCCGCCGCTGAACGCGGGGTGAATCCCGAAAAGGGAAAGCGCTGCACACAAAGGGGCTGCCGTGCACTCCTTTTTTCTAATCATAATCATCAAGATTGGCAAGTCCTACCATTGAACGCCGCCGTACGTAATTATAAGATAAAGCGTACAATCGTATGGTATTGTACGGCAAAATAACTCACTCGAACTGTGTCAGCAACTGGAACAGCTTTGAGTCCTTATTCTTCAGTCGGTGGCCCTACGTGGGCGGTGGGGGGGGAAGGGGGGGGGGAAAAGACGAACCACGTGAACGAGTGAAGCTGCTCTGCCAAGGAAAGAGAAGCAGAACTGACCAGTAGGCGGTTTTGAAGGAGCCGACCTCGGGATGATGACGAGGGGGGAGGGGGGAAGGGAAGGGTGTGTACGTGTGTGTATGGAGCGCGAGCGGGACGGCGGTGCTGGTAACGGGCATGACGCGGACTCCAACGCGCGCCGATCTACGATCTACAAGTAACATGTGACAAGTAAAGTGCGGGGAAGGGGAACGGGCTGCATGCGTTGCCAAGTAGCAGTTTCCGTGGTTGCTTGTACTTCCTGTGTGTGTATGTGTGTGTATGTGTGTGTGTGTATGTGTGTATGTGTGTATGTGTGTGTATGTGTGTGTGTGTATGTGTGTGTATGTGTGTGTGTTTACGTGTCAGTAAGCTTTTCTATGTGCAAAATTTCCGTGAAGACATTGGGGAAGTTAACAACACCACAGCAGTCGCGGTGGGCTTGCGGTCCCTGCAACTGGACCAGTACGACATTATCGTACCTCGTCCACGACAAGCACGCCGTACTGCAGTCCCTTGCTCAGCTGCCCCGCCTCCAGCGCCAACATCTCATAGCTGGTCAGCAGCACGTGGAACTTGACGCGGTCCTACAGAATTTGATGAAACACAGGGTCACATCGCAAATCGGAGGAGAGGATTCAAATTGCACCAAGTTTGACCAATTCAAAATTTCCCCGCAAAAGGACCCGCACACCAGCCGATCAGATGAACGTTGTCGTACTCATGCAATGTCGTACCTGCGCCGAAACCTTCCGCCTCCCAGAGCCTCCCGTCCCAGGCCCCGCGCCTCCGCCGTCGCCCTCTTCCCCCGCCGCCGTACTCCGCCTGCCTCCCGCAGCCCCTAGCTGCCTGTTGCCGCTGTGGGGCTGTACGTACAGCTCGTAGTCCAAGATAACCTGCAGTACAGATGCCGTACAGTATGGCGGTTTCAACGCGAGTTAACGACACAAATGGCCCTGTCCCCTTTTCAATACTCAAATTATACAGCGAAATAAAGAACGGCACAAATCCCACAATTAAAGCCCTAAAACATCACCTTGAACACCTTAAGTGCTTATTATCGCGAAGAAAATTAAAGTAATTCTTTTCAATATTCAATAAATCACACTTATGTTGACATTGTAATTGTAATATAAAACGGGAATTATGGCCTGCCCAGATGGTCAAAATGTCAAACATGAGCACCTTTTTGGCGGAAGCTCGATCGAAAAACACGGAATGGAACATTCTCCGCTTCAATTTCCTTACCTGTCTCGCCTCCACATTTCCCGCCAAAGACACCACATTCAGGTTGGGTGCCCAGGTTTCAAACTCCCTCTCCCAGTTCCTCATGGTGGATAGAGGTACGACAACCAGGTGCGGCAGCTCGCAGCACTCGGCGTGGAGGGACGCTAAGAAGGCGATGGTCTGGAGGGGGGAGGGGATAGGAGGGGTAAGGGACCGGGGGAATGAAACACGCCGTACAGATCGATAGCCGTACAACAGCTCCCGGCTAGGTCCCTAGGGGGAAATCCGTTGTGTTTGCGGAGGGGGAAAAGGGTTGGGAGGGTGTGGTTGGGAAAAGGATACGGAAGAGCTGCCGTACATAACATAAACCCGGATTGCGTTCCTAACGCTTACACACACACACCCTTCCTAACGCTTACACACACACACACACCCTTCCCCCCACCTGCACCGTCTTGCCCAGCCCCATCTCGTCCGCCAGGATTACGGCATCTCCCGTACAGTACTTGTGGTACAGCCAGTTGAGGCCCTCCAGTTGGTACGGATGGAGGGAACCGCCGTGAAGGAAGTCGGGGGTGCTGTGCCACTTACGGGTTCCGGAGCCCTGAGAAGAAGGGTGAGGGGGAAAGGACGAACCACGAGCGAGTGAAGCTGCTGCCAAGGAAAGAGCGCTGCGGCAAATATACCGGACGCAGAGCTGACCAGTCGGCGGTTGCGAAGAAGCAGTCCTCGGAAAAAAAGGGGGAGGGGGAGCGGAGCGTGTGTGTGTGTGTATGTGTGCGTGTTGGTGAACATCATGAATATGAATCAGGTTTTTAGGGTCTTAGGTTCTTTGAAGGGTTTTAGGGAGCGGCAGCACCCAGCCCAAAACATACACGTACAAACAGACGAAACGATGAGAGCTTTTGCCTCTTCCCAACCTTTCCTCAACCATTTCCCCCGCCCCCTTCAATGTCCCCTCCTCACCTCCTTCCCACTTAGGGTTTTAGGGTTTTACCGACCCACCGACCCATAACATCCTAAACCCACCTGGACTTGCACATCCTCCACGCTGCCCTCAGCCGCCGCCGCCGCCGTTTTACCGGCGGGAGATCCAGATCCCCCGCCAGCCCCCGCCGCCACCTCCTCCTGCGTGTATGTATGTTGTTACAGGGTGGTTAAGCCTTCACCAGCGGCCACTTTTCCCGAGGCAGTTCCCTGCTCTGTATGTATGTATGTATGTATGTATGTATGTATGTATGTATGTATGTATGTATGTATGTATGTATGTATGTATGTATGTATGTATGTATGTATGTATGTATGTATGTATGTATGTATGTATGTATGTATGTATGTATGTATGTATGTATGTATGTATGTATGTATGTATGTATGTAATCCACGAGAAGATGTGGGGGGGGGGATTGCATGCACGAACAGCCTACATCCCCGAAAGGAGGAGCACGCTGCTGCAGCAGACAGCAGCTGAGCCAAGGTGCGGATTAAAAACACACCTTCCTGGCACGTTTCCTCGCGGGGCCCCCCCCGCCCTCCCGGGGGTCGCCCTTGGCCCCCGAGGCGGCCGCCTTGCGAGCCCGGGCATCCTCCACCACAGATCTGAAGTCCAAGGGGGGAGGGGGGAGGGGGGGTGAAGGAGATGACGGTGGGGGGAGGCGGGTAAGAGGCATTAGATCCACTCGATGAATTATGGGAGGTGAGCGGCGTGCGTGGAGGTAGGTCGAGGGACAGATGTCTTTTCGTCCCCTTTAGTTCTGCCCCAAAGAGGAATCCCTTTGTTTTCCTCGCCTTTAGGGGAACCAAACGGGAAGATATCCCCTAAAGGGGAAGAAGGGGTGTTCTCCTTCGGGGAGACGAAGGGGAAGCCTTTGGTTCACTAGACAATCTTTATTGTAATTAGGGTCTAGTTTACTTTACTAGACCCTAATAACAATTAAAAAGACGAAGGCTGCCTGAGCATAAGAGTTCACGTATTAGCAGAAGTCATACCCCCCGTTCCCTCCGGACGCACCCCCCGTCGGCGATTTTTATTTTTCCCATTTCGCGGACGCGCACACACATACAGACGTACACAAACGCTTACTTGGTCTCCCGGAAACGCTGAATGGCGGCGTCGTAACCCGCAATATCCGACTCTAGCTCCCACCTGCACGGTACGGCAACGGCAGCGGCATAGTACGACAGCGACAGCGGTGTCGTACGACAGTGGGAGGAGCTGTATCCCTCGCAAAACGCATGCATCCACATAACGGGTGCCCCACCCAAACATATCTTTACTAGCAAGCATATCATCATCCATTCCGGCGTACCGTGTAGCCGTACAAAATCGTAATGTCGTACTCACGTGCATTGGTCGTACCCCAGGTCCTTCCATTTCACGAGGTACTCCATTTGCGCCCGGCCCTTCTTGCTGCCGCTCCCGCTGGCACCGCTCCGGCCGCCGGTGCCCCCCGCTGCCGTACTCGCCGGCATCGGCTGCTCCGAGACCTGCTCCGCGAGGATCCGGTCTACTTCCAGCCATAACGGATTGACGCCATGGACGTACTCACCTGCCGTACATTACGAAAATGATTGCAATCCGAGTGTACGTCACAGGTGTACGCGAGCGGAAATTCTACGAGGACAAGTGTCGCTCTTTAGGCATTAACAGCCAGACAGACGGACAGACCGATAAACAGACGGACAGACAGACGGAAAACATGACCAGCAATACACACGCGTTGAAGGCACGCCATACACACACATGCGCTTTCGCCACTTGTTCGCCCATCCTTCTTTCCCCCCGGCTCCTTTCTCGAAACACACACGGCCCACCCGCCCTTCCCCCCAAACACACACAAACACACCGTCCTCCCAACCCCCACCCGTCTCCTCCGCCTCCCGCTCCTCCGCCTCCCGACTTTCACGAAGCTTCCAGAATCGCTGTACTTTGGCCTTTATGGCGGGAAACATCTGTGTACGACAGTAGAGGAGGTGGAGAGAGTGCGGGGTAAGACGAACCACTGGCGAGAGAAACAGATACCAGAAATAGACGGATAGGGAGGGGGAGGAGGAGAGGGAGGGAGAGGGGCGCTAGTCAAGCTGAGAGGGGAAGGATTATATACAAAGTCACGGAATGTACGGATATAATATATAATATATAATATATAATATATAAGGAAAGGCGGAAGGGAAGGGAGGAAGTGAAAATGGAGGGAAAAAAATAACAGGACACACCGGCATGACAAAGGGAAGGATTTTCATATCTTTTGTTAAATTAATATAAGATTTCAGAATTAAATCAAGATACCATCGTAAGATTATCCCAAAGGTAAACCAGACCGGGCAGGCAGGACTGTGCAACTGCCCTCCCCCCCTCCCTTACCTGACCCCACAACCCCCGTCACACACACAACCCCCCTCCCCCCTTCCCCCTCCCCTCCCCCCCCCCAACACACACACACAACCCCCCTCACCCTGTACATCTTGGCCAGCCCCTCCTCGGGCTCCCAGCTGCAGTGCAGGTAGCTCTCACCCTTCCACTTCACGTGGTACTCACGACGCGTGGGACCTGGGGAGATGTGGGGGTGGGGTTGGGGGTGTGGATTTGGGGTTGGGGTGGATATGGGGGTGGAGTGTGGGGTCGGGGTGGATGGTGGTGGTGGTGGTGGATGGAGAAGGGATGCTGCGTCCCCTGTACCCCTGTACCCCCCGCGCGCCCTGGCCCCCCCCCCGCACCTGCTTTCCCGCCCTTCTCTCCTCGCTGCTGTTGAGTGGGCGGTGGTGTTGGAGACGATGACGGCGAGCGGGAGGGGGAGTCGTCCACGTCATCGGGCACAGGGGCATCCCTGTCGGCCAACGGGTGTTCGGTGTTGGTTGGATTGTTGGGAAATTTCAGGTGTTCGTTAGGATTGATGGGTTTTAGGGGTACTTGGAACTTTCCACGGGATTTCAACATGTTTTTCAAAGTGTGTTGTACGACAGCATGCAAATAGTTTGTGTAAGATTGCGACGCACATTCCTCCGCCCTCTCGACCTCTACCCCCCCTCACAACCTCTGCACACATTCACGCACACGACGTGGCATGCATACATACATACATACATACATACTCCTGGCGCACACACCTGTAATCCAAAACTCGCTCGATGTCCTGATATCTGAACTTGTGGGCGCACTCCGGGCAGTACCAGTCACCAGCAGGCAACCGAGTCAACGGTGGATCCAGGCAGTACATGTGGTACACTGCCGTACAGCCCAGCTGTTGCAGTCCATCACAACACAGCAGCTTCTGGGCGTCCTCGTCACTGTTCGCTCGATCCAGGGGAAGGAGGGAGGAAAATGGTAAAAAAAAGGATAAAAAAATTCATTTCAGGAAATATTGCCTGGGGGGGAGTGGGGGAATTAAATACCCCGCGTATGGGTGGTGGTGGTGGTGGTGGTGGTGTGTGCGGGATTAAAACATAAAATTCACTTAGGGTTTGACACAGAAATGGATGACATAAAGCTTTAGCACTTGATTTAAATTCTCTAAATATTCAGCAATAGCTTGTTTTACTAAACCTTCTGCTCCAGGAGTAAAAGTTAATGTTGAACGTAAAATTTCACCATATTAAGGATGTTACTAGCATCCTAAAGGATGTTAGCGGCATACTTTAGTATGTTAGTACACAAAAATGCGAATTAAAAAAGAACAGAAAAATAAATCCCACGTGCAGTAAAACGGGATCGCGGATGCGGAAGAGAGAGAGAGAGAGAGAGAGAGAGAGAGAGAGAGAAATCACCCAGTAAAACCCTACATGCCCCACCTGGCACATACTCTACAATGCGTGTCCCACGCATCTTCCTCATCCACGTGCTGCTCCTTGTCCTGCTCCTTGCCGCTGCGCCGCCGCTTGCCGCTGCCGCCGCCGCCGCCGTCACGGTACGCCTCCCGCTCCCACTCGTACTCCACCTTGCCCTCGTGATACTTGACGTTCTTTTGACGTGTCGTACGCTGACGGGACTGGTTCCCGTCAGCCAGCGCCGCCGCCAATGCGGCGTCGTTGTCTGCCGTCGGGCTGGCGGCGTCCGCCGCCGTCACCACCGCCAGGCCAGGCCCAGCTCCCGCCGCGGCGGCGGGCGCACTGCTCTTACGTGGACGGCGACGGGACGCCACCGTTGCCGCCGCCGCCGCCGCGGCAGCGGCGGCTTTGCCACTGCCGGCGGCGCCTGCCGCCTCCTCCTCTTCGGAGGGCTCCGAAACCTCCATCGCATCTCCCTCCCGCTGCTGGTCCGAGGTGGCGGGACTTGGCTCCCCTCCGGCTTCCCCTCCGCCGCCCCCGCCCGCACCCTCACCGGCGCCGTCCTCGTCCGACCCTGGCTGCTTCCGCTTACGAGCGGAGGAGCTCCGTTGCGGCCGACCCATGGGTCACCGGCCCCCAACGCACCACCTCAGAGCGCTCCCTTAAGCTGTACGGCGAGATCCTGATCTTGATCGTACAGACGTCCACTTGCCTTCTGCCTATCTTCCAAGCCACTTCGACAACTGATTTGACTTCACTCCCCGGATTACCGACCCACGCGTGGTCTGCCGTTGATACAAGCACCACCACAAGACAACCCAAAGACAGGCAAACCGGGACCAACCAATTCAACTGCTATAAACCCTGCTATAAATCTCCTCTCCTCCCGTTCTTCCGCCGCCGCCTCCTCCTCCTCCCTACTCAGCGGGGTGTCCCCCTAGGCGGGGACCTGCAAGGGGAGCCCTCCGCAGCCCCTCCCCCCGGTCGGGTAGTCCTGGTGGGTGTACCTCGGTCCTGGGCCGCTGCTGCTCCCCTGCTCCCGGCCCGCCGCTGCGCGCGCGAATGCGTGCGTGTGTCTGTCTGTATATACGTCTGTGTCTCTGTATAGCACTGATATTTACACAGGAGGGTACTTCTGACAACGCGAGCCTCCTGCCCTTCCTGAGCGACAGAAAATAGGTAGCAGGGAGCACAACGAATAGCAGCAGAAGGGATGTAAAAGAGTTGGCATTGGTGGGAGCTAGTTATCCTTTATCAATAAAGATGTTCCCGACAACTGCAGGATAGGAGGATAATAAAAATTCCCCCCAGGTACATCACCACCACCACCATCACCATCATCACCACCACCACCAACAACAACAACAACCGGGAATGTGGTGTATTTTTGGAAGGGGGGGAGAGCAGGTGCAAGAAACAATAATCCAATTGTCGGCTCAAGTTATGGGGTTGAGGGTGGGGACAGGTAAAGGTTTCATAGGTGCAGTGTTGGACAGATGGGCGTATGGGGGTATGATGGGGGCGAATAGCGATGCGGGGCCCTTTGACAAGCTCGGCAGGGTGGCCGAGCGCCCGGAGAATGGGCGGGGGTCTTTTGTACAGCTGCCGACCCTGGTTTCACAGACTGCTGACAGTGCAAAAAGGTTGTCGTTGTTGTTTGGATGGAAACGGAGATATGACAAGTTTGGATACCATACGAGTGCTGTGCGCGACGGAGGATGGTGCAGCAGGTGCGGGATTAGGTGCGGGCCACAGCCTGGAATTTGCCGTACACCTCTTAATCGGCCCGGCCTTCGCAGGCGTAGCGCACATATGCAAAGACAGGGCCCTAGGCCCATACGGATTTCAAATTTTACATAAATATGTGCAAAGAGGGCGACTGCAGGCAGCCAGCTGCGAAAACGGCTGGCCAAAAGGTCCTTAGTTGTGCACTAAGGCATATCGCGTCAGGTCACGCTAATACGGCACCAGGACTAGCAGGCGGGAGGCGAGGAAAGCACCGCTCAGTTTCCACGAACTTAAGGTTATTAGGCCCAAGAGGTATCCCATAGCAGGTCGTGGCCAAGTTCAGTGCCGATCCATGGAACAGAGCACACTCCAGGGGAGTGCCAGGCTGGGGTCAAGGCTGGTCTGAGGCTCTAACGTTGAGCATATTGTATTCAAAATGGACATCGGGACTCACAGAGCTGTCTCGGGTTGTGTACGCGCTCACCTTGAAAGGAGATTGCTGACGCCGGGTACCACGATGTGACAAAGCCGGGCGCCCTTCCTCAGAACGCCGAGGTTTTTTTCCGCACAGGTATTTGCAGTTACAAAAAACGTATTCCTATGCTTCTGTTGTCCCTCGTGGTGAAACTCAGGGTATTCTGTCTAGAATTAGGTTGTCGGTTGGCTTGAACCATCAGCGATGTATTGCCAAAAATCTAACGTTAGATTTTAGAGTTAAACAAGTACGGTATCTTTGCGTCAGTAGGCCTTCCTGCCGTCATACCGGTCGAGTTGCAGTTGTGAGTACGACAGTGGCCGCCCTCCCTGGCCAGATGGCGTTTGCCTCAGCCAAGAACTCTGATCCGCACCCAGCACACACCAGCACTGAGCGAGCTCAAAAACTTTACACCTGTTTTCGTGCGACTTGGGGTTCTTTGCTATTGGTAACCCGGTTGCCGTATTGCGTGTGTCGCGCTCGCGAGCGCACACGTACAGCCGTTCGCAACCGGCCGAAAAAGTGCGCACCGGCCGGCCCCAAAACATGCGCTGGTTTCGGAGCGGATTGGGGAATAGAGAATGGAGACTTAGGCCAGGTCCACCATCATCAAGGCTGTCAGGTCGGGTCTGCCAATCCACATAATCGTCCCCCTGTTGCGCTGCGTTTAGCAGTCGGACGCAGCCCCCAAAAAATCCTCTGCAAAATGCTTTTTTGTTTTATTCCTGGTCTCTCTGTCACTCTCTTTTTCTCTCTCTCTCCCTCTGTCTTCCTCTCAGCCCTTTCTCCTTTCTTTTCTGTTGGCGTTGTGAACATTGGAATTGCACATCGCCACCGTCTCCGCCGCCTCTCTCCCCCGCCCCCTTCCATAGGCCTTCACGCCCCAACACCCCAACACGCCATAGATCTCCCGCCATGTCCAGCTGCCCGGGCGGGCCATTGGACTGCCACTGCCCCCTGGATTCGGATTTGAACGGATCTTAGCTGAGCTGGATCCGGATCCAAATAAGGTTCTCTGATGGGCTTCGGATTTGGATCCTGTACAGCATCTTGTCTCTGTCATTGAATTGACAAAGAAAATAGCAAAATTATGAATAATGCTGGAAGTATCGAAGCGTCACACACGCGCGCACGCACATACATATATACACACAGGCGACGACGATGTACCATTCAGGGCTTTTAGACGCCGTAGCGCTTTCTTACCCGAGCTGTTCCTTTCTGAAGTGGTCGGGACTTCAACAGCCTGTGGTACGCAGGCACGCTCGAGGGAAAGCTTCGGCCACTTATTCACGCCGTACAGTGCTCGTCCCCAGTACGAGAAATGTTGGCCGTACAGGGAGTTAGCTAGCTACTCCGTTTTCCCCCCTCAAAAAGTCTTCAAGGCAAAGGGAAAAGGGTCCTTTTATCACGGGAACGTCTGTGTGTGTATGTATGTATGTGTGTTTGTGTGTTACACCTATTAAATAGCCTATTATCGCATGTGGAAGGGCGCGTGTAGCCTCTGAACACTTACCACTGCGCATTTTACTAAACTTGCTTTGAGATATGTACATATCTTTAGCTTTATATTGAAAGAGCTTTCAAAGGAAGATTTTGTAAAAAATGGCACATAAGTCCATATCAGATATAATCCACCGGCAGCACCCCGACTGCTCGATCCGCCGACTCATGAGGAGCAGCTCCACCTCCACCTCCACCATCATCACCATCATCACCATCATCACCATCATCACCATCATCACCATCATCACCATCATCACCATTAAATCAAATCTCCTCACCCCACCTCACCTCACCCCACCTCACCTCACCTCACCCCTCACCTCGATCGTTCGATTCCGCCCTGAACCCCCTCTGCGCTCCTCGCCTCCGCAAACACCTTTCCCCCCTCCAGATTGACAAAACCAGGCCTCACACCAAAATTCACCCCTCCTCCTCCTCCTCCTCCTCACCCCCATATCATCCTCTTTCCCCTCCGCTCCCCCTCCGCTCCCCCTCCGCTCGTCATCCCGAAGTCACGGTCTCCAAGGACGCCTTTCGGTCAGTTCTACGGTTGATACTCTCTTGCCCTGGCAGCAGCTTCAATCGTGTTTGGTTCGTCTTTCCCCTCCGCTCCGCTCCCCCTCGCAGCCCCCACCCTCAAATAGCCCCCACCGCCCTCAGATTCGCCAGCTCCTCATCCCCCAGCCCCAACTCCCCCCTCAACACCTCCTCAGTGTGCTCGCCGAGCTCGGGACCAGCCCACCGTGTCGTACCCGGTGTACGGCTCAGCACCGGCAGCAGTGCCGGCATGGTGACGGGGTCCCCGCCGGAGGGGGGGGAGGCGGAGTGGATCATGCCGCGGGCCTGAAATTGAGGCTCCGCCATAATCGCAGCGGGGGAGAGTATGGGACCGGCGGGAACTCGGGCCTTGGTCATGGCGGCCATGACCTCCTCTGGTTTCGGAGGTTGTCGGTTATTGGTTTTAGGTTATTGGTTGGCGGTTTGGATAAGGATGGAGTAGGTGAAGGATTAGATTGATAAAAGAATAAAAAAAACAGCTTGTTGGAGATGAAGTAAGTATGACAGTGCGGCCGCAGTTTGCCGGCCCTCCTCATCCCCCTCCATCTCTTTTTCTCTTTCGCTTCCCGAACAAGTCTTCAAAATCCTAAAACAAACTCCCCCCACCTAGCATTGTCTCCCCCGCTCCCCCGCTATTCTTCACATCCTCAAGCACGACAATAATAAATGTTAAACTTTTTATGGGAATTAGATTTCTTCAAGCATATACTGCAGGTACACGTAATCGTTCACAATTTTGCATGCTCTGCACCTAGCTTGTAGTAACTACAACGTCGTTCGTCCCCCTTCGGGAATAAAGTTGTCCCCTCCGACATTCCCTCCACCTCCCACCTTCCCCTCCATATTTCCTTCCCATCATGACGGCAGCTGACACGTTGTTCCAGCGCCCAGACAGAGAATCTTCCCACCCCACCCAAACCCCCCCACACACACGCACGCCCCCACCTACCCAGTGTGTGTTTTTCCGCCCACTGCTCGATCTGCTCCATGATCGCCCCCTCCGCCGCCACCCTCAATGAGTTGGTCGCGTATGTGGGGTTGGCGGCGGACATGTCAGGGCGGCCGATGGCGGCCATAAGGCGGGAGTAAACGCTGCAGGAGGGCGGGGAAGAGGGTGAGGTGTTGAATGTGTGTATGTATGTATGTATGTGTGTACGTATGTGTAGGGGGGAGAGGAAGTTAAAGGTAGGGGGGAAGAGAGGGACATGGAGTTGGAGGCGGGGCCCGGTGCGGATGCGCTCCCGGCAAACCTCCCGGCCCCTCACGGGGGGTATTCACGCAAAACCCTAACATACATACACACACACGCACACGATGCCTTCCTCCACAGCTTACCTATCTCCGTTGCCCCCAATCACGACATACCGACCGTCCTTTGTACGGAACGTGCCCGAGGGTACGACACCTGAATACACATAACGGGGAAACGGGCGAGTTGGGGGGGGGAGAGGTGAGCCCAGGGGCGAGAGGGGAGAGGGCAGGGGATTAAGGAAGGAGGGGATTTCCTAAAAACACAGATAACGAATACACAAACATAAGACACACACATACACACACACAGCCGTACACAGCCGTACAGGGTCCGTGGAGCCAAATGTTACCCTCCTGGGCCATGTGGGCCTTACTCGGCATTTTCCCCCCCTTTCGCCCCCTCCGGACCCCATATACATGCACGCAAAATACACATACACACACAAGCAAACACACACGTACATACATACACACGTACATACACACATACACACACGCACCTGAAATCGTTGACCCCGAGGGCCCCCTGTCCTGCCCCGCCATGGCCACCTCTGTCACGCAGCTTTCCAGGATATTGAAGACACTCTCGCTGATGGAGGCGTCAACCACCTGACCCAAACCGTCACAACCGCCACCAACCGAACCTAAAACAGGGGCAAATCAGGGTGTGTGTTTTGTTCCGGTATGCAGGGGCCAGTGGGGGGGAGGTAACGTGTTACGAGGCGGACGGGAAGAGAAGGGGTTTGCACTTGCGTAGCTGTTTCTTATCCCCTATCTTCCCCCTTACCACTTATTCCCACCCACCCAGCTCCACACACATACATACACACACATAAGGTAAGACCGGACGTTTCTTGACTGCGAACCCCCCTCCTCTCCACCCCCACCCCCATCTCCATCCCCACCTCACAAGCCCCCACCCCACCCACCTTAAGCCCACCCAATTTTCTTCCCCTGCCCTTCCAGACGACCTTACCGCTACACACACACATACACACACATACATACATACATACACACACATACACACACATACATACATACATACACACACATACATACATACATACATACATACATACATACATACATACATACATACATACATACATACATACATACATACATACATACATACACACACATACCCCACCGGCCCCCCTCTCACCCCCCACAGCCGCCTCCTTTTCCCTCCTCAGCTTGTGCAGTAGCGCCATGACGGCTCCGAAGGCGCCGTGCAAGCCAGCCAGGGTGTCCCCCAGGGAGAGGTTGGGGCGGACGGGGGGCCGGTCGGGGTAACCGTTCAGGTGGCGAAACCCGCCGTACGCCTCACACACCGACGCGTATCCTGATGATTACGACCAGGTACGGTATGTTTTGTACGTGCACGTGGAGAAGGGGGGAAAGAGGGGGGAGGGAGAGA